ACCACCACAGCCCTCACAGCTGCACTGAAATATTCAGAACAAACTCGTGGCTAGAAAGTACTGCAGCCCTTCTTACCCCCTCTGTCCCAAGTGCCTGGTGCCAGAGGACACCAGCAACCTCAACAGCCCACAGCTGATCCAGGCCTAAGCTCCATGGAAAAGTAAATTTCTGAAGGAGGACTTCTGCACATAGCTCTGAAATCAGATTTCTATGCTTTTCAGAAACTGACTGACTTTGTTTAAACGACTATATTATGAAACCAAAAGAAAAATATTTATCGCCTTTTGATGCAAAACAAGCAACTTGCCTTTCAAGAGACCCACACATTGTTGTATTCAAGCAAAGGCAGCCTTCTAGATCAATTATATACTAATTAGAATTCGCTGAAGTACTGGGCAACAACTTAATTAAATGACCCAGTGGTCAGTCATTAAATGTTATTTAGTAAAATCTGCCTTGACAGATGTTTTCATGCATTAAGTGCTTTAATATGCACAATATCTCATGTTGCAAATGAAGACTGGAATGTATCATTTGTGTCATTTGTGAAAATTTGACTCATTCTGGTAAGGTATAAGCTAGGCTTCACTGGGAGTGCCATCTAACTGAATGCCTTCCAAATTGGCTCAGTATCATTTTTTATTCTATGAAAATAAATTATAACTGTACTTACTAACACCACTGAAAATACTGTTCCAACTGTTTCTACTATAGCTATACTGTTAACCACTATTAATATCCTCAGTTCTAAGAAAAATATAATCTCCAGATTTTACTGCCTCCATTATAGTTGATTGTTTCAACAATAACCTGATTAGTGAGAACAACAAAGGATAAAAAACCCCAACATGGTTTAGTTGCTAATGCAACAATTGCAATATATATTTTTTTTAAATTACAGAAAAAAATGCTGCTTATTCTAAGAAATGACCCACTGATTTCCATGAGCTAACAGAGTAGCAGCAGGAGAAATCAATCCAACTCATTTTGTGCTTCTGCATGGAATTTACTGGAACTCAAGTTTGCAGAGCCACACTTTTCAAACACATAATCAATGTCCAAACAGCAACCCAGCCCAGTTTCTGGAGATATATTTATTTCTCAGTATGATCATCATGAAAGAACTTTAAAAGAAAGTCATTAACCTGGTAGCTAAGTAACATTAAATAGCATTTCTTATGAAGCAAAGCTCTTCTATCAATAGTAATAAAATATATAAACAACATGCAGAGAAACACATATTACTGTATTTTAGGGAACAAATGTTGGATGGCAGAATATACCTTCAAAATTTATTTTAAATCACACTGAAGCCGAGGGAAAAAAGCTCAAAGTCCCTAGGCCACATGGTTACAGAATCTGATCCATCAACATACAAATACCAGTTTCTGCATGCTCATATACATTTAATTTTAAGCATATGGGGACTTTTCAAGAACTTCCATGCACAACTTTTTACTTTACTGAAAAACAAGTGTTCAGGTATTTTTCCAGTTCTTCAAGATAACATTTTTAAAGTGCTCTATTGGCAATATGTTAGTTTCCTGAAAAACAAACCCAACCTTTTTACCAGCTGTTTTCTTCATTCTATTTCAGTTTTCCAAGAAAACCATTAGCAGAAGGAAACAGTAAGTATAATTCTAAACAGGGAACCATTGCATGTGGATTCTGACAAAGAAGTTGCAGCTCTGATAAGTTGTGCTTTGGTTTTAATGACAGCCTCAGGGGATTCATGTGCATACATGTAATAAATCACCCCATTGAAAAGATAATTACTGCGGGGGGGGGGCAGCAGCAGGAGCTTTCTCGATAGCAATTACACTAAACTGTTCAAATTAGCATACCCACAGATGGTTCTTTGTTGTCCTACACACACATTAGAGAGAAGAATGTTTCATTACATTAGTTCGCTCACTTGAAAGGGAAAAAACCAGGATCTGGTTATTAATCACACTAATATTACATAGGCTTTGTAAACTAAGGAGGCTTTTGACTGCATAAACAATGTAGAAAAAAAGGTTAACTGAGCTTTTAGGCCTGAGTTTTCAAAGGCAATGAAAGTTGGACAGTATCTAGGTGAAAATAGCAATCTCTTTTAGCTGCAGGCAGGGATTCAGAAATGTATCCCCCATTACTATTTGGTCTGGCAATGCTGGCCCTTTCTGAGCATAGACACAGCATGCACACCCTTTCAGCAAGGAGTAATCTAATTAAAATGTATACTTGCATATGGACATGCTGTGCCACTCCTTTCCAATTTAATTGTAAGGATTATTGCAAGAACATGAATCCTCTCCAGCCAGCAGCTTAAACAGTCTTCTCTTTGCTGGTATTGCTGCTGCTTTGCTCCATGTTTGAGATACAGACAGCTGGGTTTTTTTGTTTTTTTTCTTAGCCCTGTCCTCTTCTAGAAAAGCATGGCTGCTTCAGATAAACACAAACAACACATTTTTCACTGACTGAAGTGCACCCTGCCAGTAGCTTTCACAAATAAAGCTAGCTTTCCTGATGATTGTTCAAGGAGTGGTCAAAATCCTGACCCTCAAAGAAAATTATAATCTTGTTACTTACTTCAGTGGGGCTAAATTTCATCCTGGCTTTGTTCCATGGGTATTTCTTCTCCCAGTTCCTTCCTTATTTGTACCTCTTTTTTGGAGTGTGTTGGTGACTAAATTACAGAGAAGCCACCCAAGCCTCAATAAGACAATGAGAGGAGCCTGCAGCAGTCATCCCCTCTGTCCTCTCCAGAAAGTTAAGATATTGTCCCCACCCTCAATTCATCAACAGTCTACTTCCTGGTTGGATTGTCTGATTGTGTGATTAAAATCTAGGTTATAATTTTGCATGAATTAATTACAAGTTATATTTAATCTACAGTGCTCTCTCTTCTGGGATAATGATAGCAGTAATAAATAAAACTATTTAAAGCCTCATATTTCTTGTAGTATAACTATGTACAAATTATTAAGGGGACTCTACAGTCTTTCACTGCAGACCAGGGAAGAGCCCTTGAGATGTAGTTTGCAGCTCAGCTCCATTTAGTTTTCTTATTGTTTTAACCCAACCCGGTTTTCTCCCACAACCCTCCAAATGCCCCTCCCCTGCAAGCAGGGAAACCACCAGCTAGGTAAAGAACTGAGCAGCAGGAAGGCTCAAGTGGCTACTCCTTCAGATAATAGCTCACGTCTCCCTCAGCAGTGGAAGCAGTGTGATGTTTGCATTTAGTGCTCTACAAACTGTATTCTTTTGGTTGACAAAGCAATTTCTTTGGAAATGGCTGGCTGCTGCACACTCCATTGATGCGCTAACTGAAAGTTTTCAGTTACATAGAATTAACTCTATCTCCAAAGTGCCTACATATATCCTTTAACACCAATTACTCCTTCTCTCCACCACCACTATTTGCTGGAATCTTTTACCCTTGCAGTGGCAACAATGACTAACAAACCAGAGGTCAATATCAGCCTCACTTGAACTCATTCTTCCCTTCTTTTCTCAATCTCTCTCCAGAACACCACTGCATGATTGCTCTCATCTTCTCAGAACTCCTTTCTCTTGTTTACTTGAGCTGTGCCAAACAAGTTGAACAAGCAATTAAGCTTTTTCCAACATCCTCATTTGGCACATCTGTTCAATGCTCCAAGATACACAGAAAGAATGAGCGTAAGTCTATAGATATCTGTTCAGCCTCGTCAGATAAAGATGCTGTTGGCCAGGAGAATATAAATGCCCCAAGCCTTTCTGTATAGCTGCATGATCATGCAGATCCCATAACCCTGTATGTTTTGATAACATCTATGCTTACAGCCAGGACATAGAGGGCATAATTTTTGAGTAATACAACTTATGCAGTGTCTAACTTGTGTCATGGTTTAACCACAGCCAGCAACTAAGTACACACAGCCACTTGCTCCCTGTGCCCCCCATCCCCTCATGGGATGGGGAAGAGAACTGGAAAAAGGTAAAATCCATGGGCTGAGGTAAGAACAGTTTAATAACTAAAGTAAAATATTATTATTACTATAAATAAAAGAGACAGGAATAAACCCCAAGAAACACAAGTGGTGCACAATACAATTGCTCACCAACCACTGACCGATGCTCAGCCTCTCCCCAGGCAGTGACTGGTGGCTCCCAGCCAACTCCCCCCAGTTCTCATGCTGAGCATGGCATTCTATGGTATGGAATATCCCTTTGGCCAGTTCAGGTCAGGTGTCCTGGCTGTACTCCCTCTTGGCTTCTTGTGCACCTCCTTACTCTGCAGTGGCAGAGCACAGGAAACTAAAAAGTGCTTGACTTACGAGTAAGCACTAATTAGCAACAGCTAAAACACCGGTGTGTTACCAACATCATTCTGAGGCTAGAGCCAAAACACAGGGTACCAGCTACTAAGAAAGGTAATTAACTCTACCCCAGCCAAAACCAGGACACTCCATACATTGTCACCTGCACTATGCACCTTCTTGAAGTACGTGGGTCACTGCTTTACATGGCAGCCAGGTATGAGTGGTTTTTTATTTCCATTTTCCAGTGACATCATCTGTCTTCTCTCAGTACTGTTATGTCTAACCTCTTATGTCCAAAAGAATCATTCTCTGATTACTCTGTACTTTCATGATTATAAAATTGTCCTCTATTGCTAGTTTCATCTGACTTAACTGAGTAAGTCTGCAGGTTCACTGTTTAGCAAAAGAACTGACTGAACAATATATTTCTATTGAAAAACAAAGTAAATGAATCTATATGAAGTCATCTTTATACATCAAAGAAAATGAGACTATATGTAAAGTTTTTAAAAGTTTTTTTGCCCTGGAGCAAAAAAACCCCACTCTATGGAGTTGCCAATATTTGGAAAGAATTAAAAGTAGCCTCAACATTTTTTTCCCGAATCGCAAATCAATGAACTGGATTAATTCATCTAAGTCATAAATATCAAAGCATTATGTCACTGAAAACTGAAACTCAAACTAAACACAATCAATTGTAGGCACTGTCTTACCTTGACAAAATGTAGCATTGATCCTCTTGTAGCCTTGAGGGCATTCCATCATAGGACTGTATCCATGGTAAGCTGAAGAAAAAATTTACATCAGTTAAAAACCTGATAGCCAAATTATTATGTAGCAAAAAAAAAAAAAAAAAAAAAAAAAATCCCAACAAAGCAAAAAACATTTTAAGTTTTTTAGGATGTATAGTTAAGCATAAAAGGTCAAGAAATTAAAATTAAAGTTTGCACAGGTAACCTTATTTCCATCTCTTTCCGCATGTACACTACCTAAGTCTTCATTTATCTGGTGAAATTTGTGTTTTTCCCAGAAAAAGAAATCTTTGAAATCAGGACATTATCCTTCATCCTAGTTGTTCTCAAATATCCAAATAATTACTTTCCCAAGCCAGCTACAAATATAATTTTGGGAAAAGATACCGTTGAAAATCTGTGATGGAAACTCAACGGTTGTAAAACTGAAAGCAGCTTTAGAAAGTGGAAGTATCTCCAATGTTAAGAAAAATTGTTGGGTACTCTTTCTCCTGCCACACTGAATTAAAAAATATTTGAAATACAGATGAAATAGATTTAAATGAACTTTTTAAAAAAGGCAAAAAATAAAAAGGTACATTTGTGATTTACGTAACAAAGTTGCTGTATTTTAGAAGACAGTCACTTATGGGCTCATCCATGTAAATTGTCAAGGGCGTCACAACATGCAAAACAGAGACTGAATTCCATATTGCCAAAATAGAAAGTGTTTACTTAACTAATGTTTTATTTATTGTTTCTTTCTTTCACTTAAGGTCACTTTTGAGACTACAGAAAACTTTATTGATTCTTTAACTGTTATAACATCATAAATGAGAGCAATAACTACTTTGCATGGTTGTGCACTGAAAACTAACCTCTTGGCAAAGCCAAGTACTTTATTAAACAGACAGGACTAAACTTTTGGCACTAGGATCACACAAGTGCCTATAGTAAGAGTCAAGAGAGTTTTTCATAATTTGAATGCTACAACAGAGATACCTTATATTTGCTCAGATCTTTTGTTTTCCTTTAAAAGTGCTCTAA